GGTGGTGACCAAGGAACGTGGTTGCAGGCGGCGTGTAGTATGAAGGCGGAAGGGGTGGGGAGCTTCGAAGGGCGGCGGTGTACGTCATGGGACGTTGCTTGGGGGCAGGATCAGCTGTTGAGAATGCTTGGCGGATTTCGTCGCGGACGTCTTGAGCGACAGATGCCATGGGTTTATCCACTACCGAAGTCCGCAACCTCTGCAGTTCTTTACGAACAATCTCTCTGATCATGTCACGCAAAGAGCTATGATTGTCAAACGTCACAGTGGTGGCCGGAATTTGGGGGCTGTTGCACAAGCGGTCATATTGTCGGCAGTGTTGAAGTGCCCGCTCGATAGCCGACGCTTCTTTGATGAAGTTCTCTACAGTGCTTGGCGGGCAGCTGTTCGGCAAACAGCTGCTCTTTCACGCCGCGCATGAGGTAGTGCAACTTCTTAACTTCGTTCATCTGCAGGTCAGCCCTCCGAAATAAACGTGTCATGTCTTCGGCGAGCATGGCGACCGTTTTATTGGGTTTTCGGACCCTTAGCTCTAGTAGTTCGTGGGCGCGGTCACGTCTGTCAATATTGGCAAAGGTTTCAACCATCTGCTTCTGAAAGTCAGTCCGTGTGGACAGGCTGCCTTCTCTGTTCTCGTACCAAGTACGAGCGCTGTCATCAAGATAGAGGTAGGCCCGGGAGAGCTTTTCCTGAGCATACCACTAGTTGATCTTCGTAACACGGTCATAGTGATCTAACCAGTCTTCTACGTCTTCGTGTGCGCCACCAGCAAAGCGTTCAGGCTCCAGTGATTGAAAAAACGTTACCTGGGATAGAGCGGGAGGACCGGTGCCAGGAAGTACAGGTTGGGGGCTTGTGTTAGCCATTTCTAGATGTCTTGTAGAGGGCTTCTGTGAGGGGTTGAACTCTGAAGGAAGACTTCGTAGCTGACAATTGAATCGATGGACAGGGGTTGCAATAGGCACGTCCGGGCTGGATGAATGGCTCCCACTAGGGTTATCAAGCATCGGGCAGCGTCGCGGCCCAGCACCTCCATCACTGTCACAGTGCAACGCGAACAAAGGATGACAGAAGCTTACGGCAGTGCAAAGAGCGTGTTCAGGATCAGCTGTACAGCAAGACGCCTGCTTCGTTGTTGTCCCAAAAAACTGCCTGTCCCATGAGCTGGAATCTACAAAACATTCCTATCGTCGTTCTTTTTCATATACACACGTGTCAATATGGTCTGTTGTGGAGTAGCCTGTACGAAATCCTGCTGGGTCCTTTGGTTGATTGAACTCTAATGTCACCTTAATTCTATTAGCTATTATAAATGTTGTGTAAGGGTTGCACTTTTTTTTTTCAAAATAATTGCTTGGTGCGGCCCTTACACGAGTCACGCTGATGACAGCTCACCAAAGGTCTATACCGTTTCCACCACTGTATCAGAGTGATAGAATCATAAATGACTAGCCAGGAATGTTTTATTAAGATTCCATTTCGCTCTCACTGTCTTCGTTCTCGGAAGTGCTCGCCTCGGCATCCTTCCAGAGATGATCATCCTCTGCGCCACTCATGTAGTTTTAAATGCCAGTTACTTTGAAGCTTTTAGCGACTACTTCGAATGACATGGAACGGCACGCACTCAAAATCCACTCACAAACTTGTTGGAGCAATGCCCGCTTCAGCCGTCCCGTTGGCGTCTTTTCATGATGGGCCCCAGCCATTCATTCCGAATAGCAACGGCGAAATTTTGCTTTGAACAGATGGTCAATACACACATCAAGCAACTGCGACACACTCGTCAGTTTTTCAGGAATAACTGCCAAGTCTCTACGATTCGTGGCGAGTCTGTTCTTGACGTGATTCGTCAAGTGGCCCCTGAAACTGTCAAAAACAAGGGGGGCTCACCGCTCTACCAGGTCCCCAGGTCTGTTTCACATTCTTCCGTTCTGCAGTTAGATCTTAACATTATACAGGAATGGTGTGAGGATTGGTTAATGCCCCTAAATATTAACAAAAGTTTCCTAGTGACTTTTCATCGACGTAAAGACTACATCGCTTACACTTGCACTCTACACAACTACCCCATAACCGCTACCGACACTACCAAATGCTTGGGTGTTCATGTGTCTCATTCGATCAAACATGGACATTACACATCATTAGCAGCCCCGCCGCGGTGGTCTAGTGGCTAAGGTACTCGGCTGCTGACCCGCAGGTCGCGGGTTCAAATCCCGGCTGCGGCGGCTGCATTTCCGATGGAGGCGGAAATGTTGTAGGCCCGTGTGCTCAGATTTGGGTGCACGTTAAAGAACCTTAGGTGGTCGAAATTTCCGGAGCCCTCCACTACGGCGTCTCTCATAATCATATAGTGGTTTTGGGACGTTAAACCCCACATATCAATCAATCAATCATATAGTGGTTTTGGGACGTTAAACCCCACATATCAATCAATCAACACATCATTAGCATCACTAACTCACTTAATCAAGTTCTTAGATACCTTGGTCGCAACCTTGCCTCAGAACTTGCTACTACTAAACTAATAGCTTATAAAACACTCGTCAGGCCTAAACTGGAGTATGCTAATGCCATTTTTCAACCTCATCAAGCTAACCTTTCTACTATGCTCGAGTCCATCCAGCACTGTGCTTCCACATTCACTATATCGAATTACTCGACTAACATAAGTGAGTCAGCAGTCAAATCTAAATTTAATTTTCATCTTGCGTCTCGCAATAAAGTTTCACGCTTGTGCCTGTATCGTAAGTTCTTTCATTCCTTGCCAACAAGCAATGCATTCATCACAACTGCACATTGGACATCGCGCCATTCTCACCCCAACACAGTAGATCCCGTGCGCCCAAAAACAAAGACCTTCCAGAAGTCATTTTTCCTTCAGACAGTGCAAAACTGAAATGACCGTCCCGCCCACATTGCCATATCATCTCAGTTCGCTCAATTTAAAACCACCGTAAAAACCCATATTTGATCTTTGTAATTATGATCTCTTGCTGTTTTTCTATTTTTTCGTTATATTTAGCACTGTTTTGCTTTTTTTTTGTTTCATCTGTTGTGTGTTTTTTTCCACCCCTCATGTGATATTCCTTGGAATCATTGAGGTACTAATAAACGAATAAAGGAAGATTTAATGCAGAGTATTTTAGTAACCTGTAATTCACTGATGACACTGCCTTGGTGAGTGATTCAGGGGACGAATTACAGCTCATGATTACAGAACCGGACATGGAAAGCAGAAAAGTAGGTCTGAAAATAAATATTTACAAGACCAAAGTAATGTGCAATAGGTTTGGCAGAAAACAGCACTTTGCGATAGGTGGAGGCATGCTGGAAGTTGTAAAGGAATATGTCTACTTAAGACAGGTAGTAACCGCGAAGCCGAACCATAAGAGTGAAATAACTAGAAGGATAAAGATGGGGTGGATCAGATTCAGCAAGCATTCTCAAGCCGTGAATGATAATCTGCCACTAACCCTTAAAAGGAAGGTGTATAACACCTGCATCTTGCCAGTACTTATCTACGAAGCAGAAACCTGGAGGCTTACAAAAAAGGGTTCAGCATAAATTGAGGACGACCCAGTGACCGATGGAAAGTGAAATGATAGGTGTATCCTTAAGAGAAAAGAAGAGAGCAGAGTGGGTCAGGGAAGAAACTGGGGTTAAGAATATCATCGTTCAAATCAAGAAGAAGAAATGGACATGGACCGGGCACGTAGCTTGTAGGCAGGATAACCACTGGTCATTAAGGGTAACTGGCTGGATTCCCAGAGAAGGCAAACGCATGAAGGGGAGACAGAATGTTAGGTGGGCCGATGAGATTGAAAAGTTCGCAGGTATAAAGTAGCAACGGAAAGCACAAGACTGGGTTGATTGGCGGATCATGGGAGAGGCTTTTGCCCTGCAGTGGGTGTAGTCAGGCTGATGATGATGATGATGCTTAGTTTACGTTTTGTATTGTGAGAATGCGCAAAGTATAGCTCTTTTTAGACCCTCTTTTTCTTCTATAAACTTCATTGGCTATGAGCTAATAATGGGTCATATTGCTCCACACAAACTATAACATGCAAATGTGTCTGTAAGACATTTTCATGAACAAAAAAAAATGTAATCTATGAAGTCGTGAAATGCTCAGCCCGTACTGATTGCTTACATCAAGGTAATAATAACTAAATAAGTTATATCGAGTTCTAAATGAAAATATTGCGCTTTTCACATATTAAAATATATGTGAGAAAAATTTCATCCTGATCTGGCCATCAGAAGTACTAAAAACATGATGTCCAATCTCAAAAAGTGTCACAAAATAACATTTTGAGAAAAATGCATTTTAAACGTAAAAATAAAAGCTCATTTATTTGTCAAAAATATTCTTTTTAGTATAATTTATGCTATCATCATAGTTTCGGATTCATGGTTATTTTGAGCATGGGGCTTTTGTGAACTCCTCATGCAAAATGCAATGGTAGGAAGCGAGGTGACAGTTTTCAGGGGACTCAAGACAGTGAGCTCTATTTAATTTTGAATAGCCAGCATGTGTTTTTTAAAAGCAATTTTAACAAAGTTCGTGTTTAATTACATCCTTGATTTTTTTGTCATAAAAGTAGAGAAACTAAGCTCGTGCAAGCAAGTAAAAACAAAAAAAATATATGTGTAATTTCTGAAAAAGTAATTTTTTGAGCAGCATCTCTAACCATATTTAAAAAGTAATTTGGTTGCTCTGCTGAAGAAGTATGTGTAAAAGTTGCTGTATTTTGAAGCTTTCTGAATTCACAGTTGCATAACCAATAGCACATCATCAAGCAGATCTACCAAAGTACTGCATGCATTCAGAAAAAGGAAAGAAAAAGATTACCTTTTCACGTGCAGACTTGGCAAAGCAGTGCATATACTTTTTTTTTTTTTTTGAAAGCGTATGCACCTTGCATGGTGAAGCAAGTAAATATCAGACGCATGTTCTCTTTTTAAAAAATCTGTTTTTGACTTTTCGTATTGTGCAGCCACACAGTGGAAGTTGCTTTATCTTTGACCAAGAGAAAGACATCTTTGAATCCTCTGAGGGAAACCTGGATGTGGACCTGTTTGCTCCAACAAAGGTAAGTTGGCAGTATTGTGGTGATACTCGGTTCTTTGGTTCATCATCTTTCTCGGTGCAACGCAAGCTAGGGCATATGGCCGAGATCCCGACTGTGTGATCTCTTTTCTTCTCAGCGCTTGCCCTTGATGTTTGTGCGCAAGATTTTGGCATGATAGTAGACCTGCTTTTGCCAGTCAAGAAGACCAGGGGGAGAAGTGGCACGCATAACGACTGGACTATAAAGTGTGATGAGACAGTATCTTCCAGATGGGTTGTGCAATCTAGGCTACTAAAAACTGAAATGCCAAGGCTGAAGTTGGGAACCCACATTTCTTCCGTATCAAAGAAAAAAATGTAGTGCTGACTAAATTTTCACTGTGCATAATGATATACCTCAAGACTTGTGGATTCGACCTCTACCAAGAATCTACTAGCAGAACACATCCACAGTTGTGACAATAGTGCAGGAGATTAGCCCCCATCTGATGTTTTCAAAGTGCTGTGGTGCTCACACAGCCTATCGTTTAAGCATCGTTCAAGCTCTCACAAGTAAGCATGGTGAGATCCTCTGAAACACTTACATATTCACATGCTTCCACTTGAGAAGCACACACAGGGCATACTACCAACTGTTTATTGTGTGTGACAGGATAATGAACATGAGCAAAGACTTTACAATCAATACAACAACTACCCAAAAAATATAAATAGGAGTTGTATACTTCATTTCTTTGTTAAGTGGAAAAGTGTAAATCGGGCAAACTGAAACATGCCTGAATGGCCAGCTAAGAGAGCATGCTTTAAAAATTAAATGAAAGGAGGATAAATATGCGTGTCTTCTGGCACATGCTGCCGCATGTGGGTGTGAAACAATGTTTTTAGATTCTGTAAGTTCGGCAAATGTGTCTGCTTGCCGCAACTAGGAGCGGCCCCCTCCCTTATCCCACGCAGCGGTGATGCTGCAGTTGCGTTGGGATTGGGGAGCAAGCATTTTCTGCTACGTCTGCATGCAGAACAGTGTGAAAGCCATTTTTACGTCGATGAAGTTTGGTAAGGCGGCTATGGAAGGACTGACTGAGTAATACTTAGTCGTAAGTAGGAGCACCGACTGTCCGTATACCCAATATTACGAATATTCAGTGGCTGCATTTAATAGTATTCATCCGCATGTGTTAAATAGTTAATTCTAAGTGAACGAGCCAATGGTCTGCACATGAATGGTTCAATCATTGTGAGAAGGGGTTTATTGGTACAAGTACAGTATGAATCTCGATAATAGGAATTCAAAGGGAGCACGTAAAATATTCAATCATCCTGAATTCGTATGAACCAGAAACAACTTAAAGCTGATATTAAAGATGAACAGGAACTTTATTGGCTACTACTCCCTGCTGAAAAAAGTCTATGATGTTCTTTTGAAATTTTCTACCTTCGCCGTCTCTCAATAAAAGTCCACGGTTTCCTCACTCATGCTGCTAGCGTGGCGCGTTCACAGTTGACATCAAAGGGAGTGAAAGTGGCTAAACTCTTTGGAAATTCACTCGCTCAGCTGCTTAAGTGGCCAGGAAGCCGCGCTGCGATGTCAACACGAAAAAAATCAGTCCTGGAGAATTCAAGCGAAAACACCAGAGCGACCGGAAAACAATGTTCACACCCGTTGAAAACGCTCACATTCGTTCTGTCCCTCATATACATGCCACCCCACCGCCCCCATCGCCGCTTGAGAATTCATTTTATTTTGCCCGTTTCATGAGCACTGAAGTTCGTACAGAGTTCTTATAATGCATGCAAAGCACTGAAAAGAAACACGAGCAGACACAAAGGCTGCGATGGATTCAGGCGGCAGTAAAAAGCAAGACACATTGAGGCATGCCGACTCGCTGCTGCTGCACCTTTTTCTACTTCTGGTGTTCTCAGTGATTGTAATCCAAACCAGGCTGTCAATAAACGCATCCTTGTCAAGGCCATGAGCTTCAACGGGCTGCTCGGGTAGTTAGCAATAGCGCTGATGTAGGCTTGTGCGAATAGTGAATTTCAGGTTTGAAGCGAATTCAAAGCGAATAGTGATTTTTGGACGAATAATTTCGAATTGAATTCGAATAGTATATACAATGGACTCTCAGTAAACAGAAATCTGTTGAACGGAACTGCTGCTTAAAAGAAACAACTTCCTCTGATATGATCGGTTTCATACTTGAATATTCAACCCACTTCACCTTTCAGCAAATTCTGTTAAATGGAACACATTATTCCGGTTCCTTCAAGTTTTGTTCAATGAGAATCTGCTTTATGGCATATTAAAAAAAAATGGGCATATTTATCATGACCTAACTAACCTGCACAAAAATTTTTAATTGAAAGTAAGGCCTCTATGAAAATGCCATTTTTTTTCATTAAAAGGAAATCAGAACAACTTTGAGTAGTAGCAGGATCTGATTTTCAGTATGATCCGAGTGATAACCTCTAAAATACGTGACATTTTAAAATTTACATTGGAGCATACAAGCAGTCATAAGCTTTTAAGCTTAAGAAATGATGAATCGATTTGAGTGTAATACAATCATTTAAATAAGCCCTGCAACACTTTTTAAGGTAGCCATGAAATGGATTCACTTAAGAAGCTTATTGCCTCCCGAATTCACTGCCGCAGAAATTTTTAGAATCTGTTCAATATGAGTGGATTTGCAAAGATTTCTCGCACGCTGCAATTGCATTATTTCTTCTCGTCCGAACGAAAGCACTAGAGGCTAAGCATGAAGGGATGGCATGGGGAAAGAAAATACATCACGCGCACTGACCCGTGAGCACTTTCTTTCTTGCTCTCTCTCCCTCTTGATTTCTTTTCTTTTTGAGTACGCTGCTTTTCACGGGGATCATGCACGTACGCCTGTACAAGTGGCGGCTTCCCGCGACGGCCCAGTAATGACCGAGCACACCACGCTCAAATCAGGCAATGGCTGATACAACGACTGTGTCGATTGATTTTTGAGCTTGTGGCATTATTTGCCCAGAGAAGTGAGCAATTTTTAGCGGACTTTGAGAATTTATTGTGAATTGCAGGCATCGTGCTGCAGTATAAAAATTGGGCGATCCTTAAGCTTTGCCTTTAAGAGTTTTAACGCAATAGTGAAATCCGGCCCCTAGTGCACCCATCAACCGCTAAGTGCATACTTATTCATATGTTTCGTTACATACAGTACACACGCATGCACACAAACACACGCAGAGTAGATTGGACCAGCGCAAGCTGTTATCACCGAATGGGCTCGTTTTTGTCACGACACCTGTCGAACAAACTGCATTAAAGGGGCCCTGAAACGCTTTTTCAAGTAACCATGAAATGAATTCACTAGAAGAGCTTGTTGCCTCACGAATTCAACACCATAAAAATTTTAAGAATTCATTCTGTGCAAGTGGAGTTACAAAGGTTTCTCGCATGCTGCAATTGCATTATCTCGTCTCTCGTCCTGACGAAAGTTCTGGAAGCTGAGCAGGCAGGAGTGGCAGTGAAAAGAAACTACCGTGACTCGTGACCTTGAGCACTTTTTTTTTTTCGAATGGGCGGCTTTTTCAGTGTGTTTGCGCGCGCACGGATGGACAAGTAGTGGCTATCTCGGTAACTTGATTTTTCGGTCACGGACTTAGAGACGATTTTTCGCTCACAACCAACGGGGCCGACGCCGGCAGCGGGTTTTCTGCGACACGAGCTCTTTGACGCTGTCGTGTTAATATATGACTCGCGTGTTTTTGGTGGCCTCGACCACCAAGCGGCAGCGTTTTCTGACCACGCTGAAAAAGTGTTTCAGAGCCCCTTTAAATTTGAAGTGGTGCTTCATGGCAGAGTGGATTTCCTTTGGACAGGTGTTTTCACGGCTTAGCATTTCTACACTACAGTGAAACCACTTTTACAGGAAATTAGACGTGGATTGATTACACCTATTCGTTCATTGCAAATATTTTGAAATTTTCAATAGTTTAAACTCGAATCAAAGTGAATTTGAATACTCTACTATTCGTTCAAATATTCAAAGCATTTGAATATTCGCACAAGCCTACACTGATGCGATCCACCGCCAATGTCTTTGCTGCCATATTGAATTAGCGGCTGGCTGCTTAAATCACTCGATTTTAGAGATAGAGCAGCCGGTTAAGCCAAAGCCATGAAGCAAAAAAGCGATATGCTATCGCGTGGCGGGAAAACTGGTCTCTGACAGATTTTTATTCTAGCCAGCCTTGACGCGTGGTTTTCCCGCCACTAAAGCGTGGAAAATTCTGGCGAGTTTTGCTGCATTCACTCTCTTCGAGGCCAAGAGTGAACGGGCCTTCCTCCCACAGACAAGCTGCATTGCGCCGCTGGCGTGCAGTGCTCATTCGCTCATTCGTATCATCAGTGGTGTCTGGGGAAACCGTTCGTATCACGGTGTATTTTATATAATATAGTTCATCCAAATTAACCTTAACATTTGTATCATCGCGAAATTCGCATCAATTGTAATCGTATTGTGAAAATTCGACCGTGCAGCACTTGAGCAGGAGGGTTACGGACGCTGAGAGCGAGCGTCGACAGCCGGCACACGAATCACAGCGTGGATCACAAGAGCTCTTCAGGCTAAAATTGTGGCCCACTACATATTGCTCTTCTTCCTCCTTACAACACCCGGCAACAAAGGGGAACCATCCTGGAGAATCATGGTGACGACGAAAGAAAGGGGTTGGGATGTAGCTTGAGGCGACTTACGAGCGATGTTTCGTGACCAAGGCAGCGCCTGTCTGTTGATGGCTTAACAGGCTTAATTACATATTATGGGCGGTACGCATGTTACGTATGTTATGTGAGAGCGGCGTTTCACGACACCGTAAGAACCATGATGCTTTGAAACAAACTTAATGACAGGCCATAAGAGTGGAAGGGCACTCAGAGCAAGACGAGCGAGCTCACAGCAAAGGCAAGACTTGTTGGTCGTGGTCGTGGCATTCTATTTCGACGGTTTGTTTGTTTGAGGTAAATGAACGTGCTAA